ATTACTAGCCGCCACGTGTGAATAATTTAGCACTGGCCAATAGCAGGACATAAATTTGCATTCGAATGGCGGGAACTCTTTGCACCGTACATTTCTGTGCTGCAAAGAAATGCACCCTGCAAATTGGTGGGAACTCTCTTGCACCGAGGTTCTTCTGCTGCAACAGAAACCCTCGCTATGCAAGAGGCTCTCATATGGCAAGAAAATTCCATCGTGCCGAGGCACCAAAATCACTGGGTTGTGACACCCGGTAGACCCGTAAGTGCTTCTGGTCCACTCCCGGGTCTGCTGCCAAGCGCGGTGGGGTGCCCCCATGATTCTGTGGGGCACTCCATCCGCCCCAGCACTGCAACATTCACAAGCCACTTGCTACTCAGAGATATGTAGAAAAAACATTTGAAGCTGTGTCTATTTCTGAATTGCCGAATCTTTCCAAATCTCTCCAAATCGATTTGGAGGGTTCCAATGTGATTCGGAGAGATTACAGGGTTCTCTGGTTCAATCTGGATTCAGAGATTCGGCCACCGAAACAGGCTGTATCTCCGCCGAATTGAATCAGCGACTGAAGCTTTGCACAGCCCTAATATCTATGACTAGAAAGAAACTTTGTGAGCAAAACATGAAAGCTGACTTGCTTTATTATTTAACATTAATTTTTTGAGAAAATGTGTCTTTCAATACCATTCTTCTTTAAAACAAAACAAAACCCAACTATGGCTCTAATTCCCTAACATGTTTCAAAAATCTAATCCTGCTTTCTCAGGAGCTTTTTATGGCTTATCTGTTGCTCTGTTGTCACTATGGACAAGAGGCAATGTATCATCCAATTGTGTGGTTGGTTTAAAAATAATAATAATAAAAAGAGTAGTCTTGTCTTCCTTCTAGCTCCTTAGCATCAAGATGGTATATTGATACAAAACACATTTAAACAAAGGCAAGTGGTTCAGAGCCATTAACTTCACAGGATATAAATAATAGTTATAGCCAGACAAACCTGTGTAAAAAGTCTGTATACGTAGTAATGGTATGTTTGTTATAGAAGTAAGTAGATACTGAGAGAGTTTTACGTATATATAGTTATAGATATAGAGCTAGTTAGATATAGATATGGAAAAGCTAGTTATATAGATAGTAGATCTGAGTGCATGTTTGTGTGTCTGTGTTTGTATATGTGTATATATACACACACACACACACACACACACACACACACAGAGATAGAGAGATATCTATATAGATGTCTATCTATATACAGAGAGAGATATATATAGAGAGAGAGAGATCTTTTGAATATCAATATCTAGCTTTTGAATATCAATATCTAACTGTATATAGATATAGATAGCTCTATATCTATATACATGTAAAACTAACTCTACTTACTTCCATAATACCATTGCTACATATACAGACATATTATAGAAGTATTACATATATATAGCTCCATCAGCCCCACCATCGCAACGTTCATGAGTCATGCATGGTACCTCGAGGTATGTAGAAAAAAAACATTTAAAACTGTGTCTATGGCCGAATCACTGATTCTCTGAATCAGCATCAAATCTTCAAAGAAGATACCACACCCCTACTATGCGCACACAGCTCATAGTCTGTCCAAGATGTTTTGTTTGAGTTAAGTAACTGCATATATTGTTGTATGTCATTACTTATGGAGTACACAAAAGTACTGCATTCACAAAAATTATGTTCTTATCTTTATGAATGCTATTTTACTATTATCAAATGAGGGAAGCTAACCCACTCCTTAACATCCTTATGTGACTCCGCTGGTGTTATATTTAAAGAAACATATTCAATACAGTATGGAGGAGGGAGGAAAGAGAAGACCAATAAAAAAGCTTGTGTTTAAGTAACAACGCAGAGCCACTGGGAATCATTTGACTACAAAATGTAAACACTCTACTCTCCAGAACTAAAATGCCACATACAGGGAAAAGGAGGAAGTTATTTACACACCTGCTGTATACTATAATCCATACCTGACTTTTTCTTCACACAAACGCGAGATAAACATCCCCAAAGCAAGGCCCATGTGGATTTGAACACCTTGAGACTCATCAGCATTTGGGTTCCCAGGTAACCTGGCAGTCAGCATGCTCAGGACTTCCTCAACCTTCTCCTTGCAGGATACAATGAAAACTGGCACCAAGAGAGACAAAGCAATGGCTGCGCAGGAGCGAGCAATCGCACTGGCTGTGTTTTCCCCTGAATATGATTTCTAGTATACATAGCAGAGGGAAAAGGGGGATGGGGAAGAAGACAATTTTAGGTTTTATACACCTCTTTGGTGATGGAAAATGAATTTTCTTTTACCAAAGATAATGTTCAGAATTTTAGACATTTAAAATTATACAACATACAGTATCATACTAGTATTTCTATTTGGGAGCAAGTGGTACTCACGGCTGGCCGAAAGCAATGTTCCTTTCTTTTTTTTAACCCCTAACTAGCTTTATATTTCAGTCGCCATATTATTCTTTCCAGAGTTTAAAAATAAAAAGTATTGTTCAATACAGGACTGTAAAAAATATGCATGAGGTTGGGGGGAAAAAACAGAATCCAATACCTGGTAAGGGGATAAACATATCGATCTGTTTTGATATTTGAAACCCTTACTAAAATATGCAGCAAAGTGATCCACTCTCTGGATAGGTAAATAAAAACAGCTGCAATGTTAACATAACTGTAATTATAGAAAGTGAGAAATTCAGCAAGAAGAAAATGCTGCTGTAATGCTTGAGAGGCATCAAGTCTAATGTAGAAAAGTATCGGCAGATCTTGCAAAATTTCTGGTGGTTAGACTTTCCAACAGAAAAATTATTCTCCACAAAGGCTTTAAATTCCTTTCCATTTAAAAAAAAAAAAATGGTGAAATCCACATGACTGCCATGACTTACAGATCTATGGCCTAGTTGTATGTAATCGCTTGATGTTTATGCATTAACATATGCATAACTGTGGGAAGAAAGAGAACAATATTCAAATGAGAATGCAAGGCACCTTGAAAGACAGTGATTTCTACAGGCTGTTGTGGAATTTACAAAACTGACGGGGAAAAAAAGCATTAAAAAAATATATATTGTATTTTTGGGAGAGAAAACTGTGTAAATTAAACCCTCAAGCTCCATCTCAAGAATATACTTTTTAAATCATATTATTTTTGGAGGCAGATTTTTCGATAAGTTACAGCATGGCAATTCTGGTCAGAGTCGTCGTTGAATTTCCTTGGCTTCTGTCAGTCTGGAGTTATATTTGGATAAGGTGTTAAAACTATACTGGTTTTGCTGGTTCAGGACCTCCTTTTGGTGACAACAGAGGTCAAGAGCCCAAGCTGACTGTTTCAGATCTCTCAGTAATCTTTAAAAACCGCTGACCTTGATTTCTTTTTTTCATCTAACTAGCTGCAGTCAGACTTTTATGGACCTTTTCCTTACTTTCAGGAAGACTCTCAAGATATGTTACAGTCATCCTCATTGAGGGGCCTCTTATATAAGCCCACAAGAGTGAAAGCTGTAGTTTTACCAGTTGGTTAATTCATGCCATCCTTCTGCCTGACTTCATTTTATGTCTTGTTAATTGGACCTGAACTCTGCTTTCCCAGAGAAAGGCACATGGAAGAAGGCTGACTATGAGAGTAGATAAGATAAAGTTTTATTGCTAGAAAGATGGCAGTATTTAGAGTGCGACAGATATGGAGTCTTTCCCTGGGAGGGGAATTGTTCCCTCTTTGTAAGTAATATCATATGCTAATTTATATTCCTACTTCAATATATTCTACAACAGGGATAGCACTCAAAAAAAATCACACAGAAGGGGAGCTTTTACAAACAAAAATCACAGCCGCAGTAAAATTAGCAATGGTATCTATACTCTATTTGTTGCCTGAAGACTATATTGACTCCCATTTCACCTCCAGGTGCCATTTCAAGAACCAGTAGTATTTCATAAAACCTCTCACATTTTAGGTCCTGGTTATGAGCTTGAAATAAGATAGGATCTTTTTGCCAATAGTCCCTAGATTTGAAACTCTTGAGATGCATCTTCAAGGGAAGATCCTCCATAATTACTCCTTTTTAATAAAGCTAGTGTCTCACAACCTATGGGACATGATATAGGAGGCACTTCGTCTCAGGATTTTGGTACTGTAACATGGCAAGAGCTTATTTAGTTTGACCTGTTTGACTTGTATTGTTTTATCTGTACAGCCTGAAACATTACAGTAATTGCATTAAATAAATAAATAAATAACGTTAAAAGGACTAATATCAACAGCAGGTGAGACTCTCGAATATCAAATTTCAAAAAAAAGGGCTGAAGGAAAAAAATTGGAATAAAATAAGAAAAAAAGTGCTAAGAACAAAAGGAAGAAAGAAAGAAGCCCCTGTCCGTATATGTTCTGCAAGAACAAGCCACTGCAGGAAACACACTGTTCAAATAAGTATTCCCTGCAATCACAAATACTAAGATCATTAAATCATGTCCATAATGTCTTATCCATAATATTTCCTGTTTAACTCCTTCCTTTAAGTTTATTTAAACTTCTGGATGTACCTGGTAGAACCATGGGAAGACTTGACCTTGAGGACGATAGCGACTGTTCACAATACTAAGGAGTGTCTCTACCACCATGGAAATCCAGTGGTGTGTGGGAAGAAAATCAGGCTGAGTCTGCAAATGATAGAAGTGACATAGGACAATAAGTACTTTAGTAAAAACAATACACCTAAATGGTCATGGCTATCTTTTCTTAAACCAGGCCCCATCCAAGAACAGAATATAGATTTATCAGTTGATGTGCCAGCTCCCAGGGGCTAATTCCACCTCTCTTACTCACAGTAAGCCTCACACTTTATTCTACAAATGGTCCCACTGTGGAGACTAAAATGCTATCGAGTGAAAACAAAGATGGCTAAGACAGTTCTGGTAACAGTAGCAGGCACCCTTTCTTCCCCCAATCTGTGATCCAATCTGGTTGAATATAAGCAAGTAGCCCCAAATCACAGTGCCTAACAAATTAAATGTAGGCATAAACACAAAGTATTAAAATATGATTTCAGTATGAATAGAGAATTTGTCTCCAATCAGGATTCAATATTTTACTAATTAACTTAAACTACATGGGCAACCACCACATACAGGTAGATCAACCATGATTTAAATGTCCGAGTCAAATTATGCCTTTTTTCATATAGTTTTAAATGTTCTATGTAATAAGGACAGGAGAGTATGCAGGCCTACTCAAAACAACACAACTTGCAGTGGTCCTTCTGATATAGGAACTACAACTTACCAATGCAATAAATAACATGTGAAGTACAGTGTGCCATGAATGGAATGGTGTCACTAAAAGTGGAAAACCTTTGTCCACTCCACTTCAAACAGACCACCATGTGCTTACTAGGAATAAGACCCAACTACCCTTTTTCCTCCAGAAAAAGAAGTGGGAGACAAAATTATCTCAAATGTAATAGTGAATGCCTCAGCAGCGATGATATCAGCAAAAGAATAATGAATCTTGTGTGCTTACGTGGTGCTCTCTGTCTCAGTAGCTCGACTGACAATCAGAAATTAATGGATCCTTACATCATTTCTGTGAGATATTATTATCCCCATTCTACAGGTAAAATAGATGAACTGAGACTTGCTCATGGTTCCACAAAGACCTTGAAAATGCAGACCTTGAAACAAAATCCCAGAACAAACCAAAGGACAAGCTTTATCTTAATAAGGACGGAGGGAAAAAACCTAGTGTGAAGTTAGGTTAGGCGGTCACAGAGGCTTATTTCAATAGTCTTTTCGGTAAAGAATCATGTTAGTATGCGTTTGTGTTCAGTAGCTGTAAGCATTCAACATATAAATATTTTATGAATTTACTTGGTCAGATTTGTTCTCCAGAACCTGCTACTGAGAATGACTACCGAGAATGACCACCATCATCTGACCTAGAAACTTACAAAGGGAACAGAAGTCATAGTATTTTTGCTAATTAACCTGATATGATTTGTTTATAGACCCAGATAAATCAATATACTGAAATTATAGATTTTTCCCCCTACAATTTGGAAGTCAGTTCCCTAAAGGGACCTCTAACTAATACTTCATTGCTTCGTTTCTTGATAGAATTGGTTGGCAAGGCTCCTCCAAATGAGCCATATCAAAAATTTAGTTCTACCAACCCCTATCATTTAAAAAACATGAAAAGATATAATCATGCCTTTGGTCTGTCATCTTCTTTTTGAACTCTTCCTGCAACTATGACAAATAGCATTACTGATGCTTGCAAATTTACTACAAATACTGAGATTTTACATTCCCTTCTCCCCTGGCAGGAGTGCTAACTAGAGAATTCAGACAGGCCTGGCAGTAAGCACTATATTAGAATAAGAGACTGTTTCTTCCCCAAAGAGCTTAACATTTACTGAAAGGTACAGAAATATGTTTGTAGTGTGAGGATTGAAGCAACACATACCATATATCTTCTGTAGAAACCACCAAAATCTTGATTAATAGGAAAGCAGTTTTTAATCTCTCCTGAACTGGACTACAATCAAACTGGTGATCTTTAAATGAAAGGTTCTACAGGTTTCTAGTTGTGTCATCAGTCCCTAACAGATACTAATGTCGAACCTCTGAGAATTAGACTTCCTTTCTAGAAAGATAAATTGATTTAATAATGTTCAAATTCTGACCTTTTTGGAGTTTCTATAGGTAGGATTTCCTGATATCTGGATACAGGCAAAATCCCCTAAACACTACTAGAAATCTCAGACATGCTATGGCAAAATATCATGCCCTGTCTTTAAAAGGATCATACCGGCTAATTAAAAAAACCTTTAAAATGCAAAAACAAAACAAATCTAGCCACCAAATTTATTCATATCGGCAATTTAAAGATTGACTCAGTAGTGCAGACTGGGTTTACAAGGAATTTTCAAGATGCAAGAAAACTGAAAACTAGCCACATTATGGAAACCACACGCAGAGTTGTCTTCTGGTGTAAAGGCTGGCAGACTGGAAGACCTGAATGCATTAAGTCAGACTTCATTCTTCTTCCTCTGAAGTCCACTGAGTCTTAGAGACATACATATTTTTAACTTTGGACTTTCGCCATGCTTTTGGTCAATTAAAGTTAGCTTATTTTCTCTCAAGGGCCTATCAAAAGTGTTCCTGACCTTGCCAGAGCGCCCAATGCAGAAGAGCAGGTGGCATTCTCAGCTGCTAGGTCACTTTGCAATCCTTCTGATACCAGCTGGTTTGGTAGAATGGTATTTAAATCAGACCACTCATATGGTGGTACAGGACCAGGCAACTTCTGAACAACTGAGGGCCACATGCTCCTGGAGCACACTATACCCCATGCAGCTGGAGAAGGGAGTAGAAGCCTGGAGACCCCAGAGGTAGCAACAGAGGACCACTGGGGGAAGCAGCAGATACAGATACAACACCAGATACCTGGAAGCTGCAAACCCTTCATGGACTGCATGCATCTGCAGACTGCTAACTGGACAGCAGCCCTGTGCTAGCCCACTCATCTGCCATTTTTGGTGTAATGATTTTACTTTTCACATTGACTGCACTCCATATTTCTAGTTGTATTTAATATGATTATACAAATTGTTTCAGGCTGCTGCTTTGAGTGCAAGGTACTTACTGCACTGATACCTGCAATTTTTTAACATTCCTTACCCAGCTGAAAAATAGATCCATATTTACAGCTGTCTTCAAGGAAAATGGGACTTCTTCTCTGACCAAATTAATGCACTGAGGTTAAAATTATGAGGTCAGAAGGTGAAGACACAAAATGGAAACAAAGAACAGCTCTGAGAGGAGGCTCTCTCTATTCACACACCGACATGGAAGAATCACCGACAGAAATGTTACATATATGTGCATGCATTAATAATTATTCTTATACATAAATCAGCCATTCACACTATGGATATATTTATATACACTTAAACAAATTTCCACTTTTGCACTTGTGGGTTTTGAGCTCGTGGGCTAAAAACAGATGTTGGGTTTATCCAGGGTCTGAAGACTCCAGACACAGAAGTCCTCTACAAACGTAGCTTGAATGGCAATTAACCTGATTTAGCCCTGACTGTCCCAGGGAAAAAGTGTTGTCTTGGTACTTCCCAGGTACTTAACATAGGGACAACAGGCTTGTATGTCTGTAAAATCCCAAAATAAAAAGCCTTGTCCCAAGATAAATCTGATGCCTATTTTTAGCCATGGAAAGTATCATATTGTCCCTTCTAGAAGTGAAATCCTCTGAACAAGATATGTTCAATACAGACAATGGCAATACAATCTTTCGAAATATCTGGTTAAATCCAACCTAGAGGGGTAGAGCGTTACCTACCCTGTGACAAACTACCAAGCTCATTTTACTCACAGCACAAGAATCACTATCAGATGGTCAGTCCCAAGCAGGATGAGACATGAATTTATTTAAAGTACTAAAGACTCTGTATTCCGTTACCAAGCTACCAAAACACCCAGTCTCCCATTATTTTTGTTTTGTTCTAAAAATCACATTAAGATTACAAAATTACTTTTCCAAAGTTTAACTCACCTCTGGTCCCCCCTCAATGTCTGAGGACAGGCTGCTTTCATATTTTGCTACAGCAACTACAAGGCCAGTTAAAGCTAAGAGACAGTTTCCTTTCACCACGGGGCTCTCCCTATTGGAATAAGCAAACAGTAATAAAAAGGCATAAAAGAGGTCCGGACAATAAAACACACAGTTGAGAAGCAGGGAAACACATGCTAAAGGTGATCTGTATTAGTAGAGACCTTACTGAGATGCAAAACTCTAACACCTTTCCCAAATTGTTTGCTGGCTCTGCAGAAGCATTCCATATTTGGTCTTCACATAAGCCAGAGATGCATAAAAACTAAGCTTTGACTCTCTCTAGTTTTCATTTTCCTATTTCTTGATCTCTTCTAACACTACTGCAATATGGATCTCCTTCTCTAAGCACTGCCAACTTTTGAAAGACATATGGCTTCTAGACCTAAGCACATAATGATTTCTTGAAGATTACTAACCACCTCCATTCAGAGTCTCTTATACAACCCCTGCTCAAGGCAGGATCAATTATAAGCACTATAGGGCATCTTTACATGTGCTCTGGAGGTGGATGGGGGGCTGGGGAGAGGGTGCTTGAATTACAGTGGCTCCAAAAGCCTTCAATGAGCTTTAGTTAAAGTGCCCCAGCTGCCATTTTAAACTCTTCCTCCCGTCTCCAGCAATTTCTTTTTGCATCTGAAAATAGTTTTTTTGGAGACTACAAACATCATGTCTGGGACACTGAATCCAGACTCCTCTAGATAAGAGATAGCTAAAAATAATTACAAGTAGGCAATAGGTCATTTCTTAGAGGATCCTCACATTGCTTTAAAATCACTTCCTCATGTATTTATTCTGACATTTATGTTGGTATCTAGTGTCAGTTATAGTGGTTGCATGTCATGATAGGTCTCAGATTGTCAAAAACTTTTATATTGTACCTATGACACCCAAAGACTTTACATTTGAAAGATGTGGATGGATTCGAAAGATTCCAGCAGAGAACAACAAAAATTATTAGAAGTCTGGGAAGCAAGACTTATGAGGAAAGGATGAAGTCTGGAGAAGAGAACACTGAGGAGGGATTTGATAATAATCTTCAAATATCTGAAGGGCAATTATGGAAAGGTTTGAGATGGGCTATTCTCTGTTGCTAAAGGGGACAGGATTCAAGCTGCAGCAGGGGAAATTTAAGTTGGAGATTAGGAGAAACTTTCTAACTATGGTTAAGTGTTGGAAAAGAAATTGTAGAATCTCCAACCCTGGAAATTGTCAAGAGCAGGTTTGACCAGTAGTGTAACTTGGGGTGGGCAAGCAGGGAACCAGCCACAGGTGCAAACTTTACAGAGGCACCAGAACTGAACTGCAACTCCCATGGAGTCTGTGCCCCAGTAGCAGTAGTCCCATGAAGTTGTTCTTGCAGCAGCAGGTGGGTACATGGATACCACACTGCTGCTGTAGAAGCAACAGCTGGGGCAGGCCACGCACACTGCAGTTGCAAAGGAAGCAGCACTGGCAGCAGCAGCAGTCAGGGTTTGTTTTCTTAGTCCCCACCATACATAAGACTTCTGAACCCTCTTCGTCTGCCCAGCATTGAGCAGCACTTCCCCCTCCACTCTCCCACAGGGTTTCCCCAGGTCACAAATCTTGCTTGTTATGCCTCTGGGTTGGACAGACACTTGGCTGGGATGATTTAGTCAGAAATGATCCCCTTTGAGCAGGAGGGTGGACAGGATGATGATCATGTGGGGTCCTTTCCAGCCCTACTTTCCTATGACCTTATGATTTGCAAAAGCATAACCCTTCCAGCAAAAAGATCACCACCATTGACACACAAGCCATCTTGATGCTATGTTGAAAAATAATATTTCTCATTTCTTATTATTCAAAATGAAAAATACTGCACAGTGAAACAAACAAATATGTTCTTGTTTCTGCACTGAATTTTGCATAGACAAGGGTTGGGAAGCATGACTTGCCAATGGATAATACTCGTTACTAGCTGGGAAAAGTTTAACCCTAGGAACCAATAATGAAATGATACCAACTGAAATAGTTTGACAACTGAATGAATTTTATTAATAAAACCTTGGCTCCCAATCTGAGAGAAAGGATTCAATATTTTCTGGAGTTTATGACATCCATATATTTTATTTGGCTTTACACTAAATTATGGATCCAATTTTTCATAGGTATTTAATAAACAGAGGCCACTTCAGTTCAGTTCTCTTCCTCTCCTCCACCTCAGACCCTAGAATTTCAAAAGGGCTTTTATCCAGATTTGCTACTTTTGACACCTCTATTTGGTCCAGCATAAGGAGTCGTTTTCAGGATTCCACAACCATAACAAAGTGATATCTGTTGGAGGAGGAATGCAGGGGTGACATCAGGCTGCTAGCAAGCATCCCTAAAGTTTTTCAGCAGTTTCTGAGGGTGGGGTCAACATGTTTGTATCTGCCCTGAAAGCCTTGGACTAAGTTCAGTGATAGATGAGCAAATGAGTAACAGTCTGAAAACATCTTTTTTCTGTCCTCACAAGGGGGACAGATACGGACACATGGAGGAAGCTTCAAGTATGAAAGATAGATAATGGGCCAGCTGTGATGAGATCATGCTCCACACCAGAGACAGCTAAGTAACTGTTAAAACGAATGAGTTAAAGACAAAAAAAAAGGGGGGGGGGAGGGAAGGAGTTATATAACAGACTGGATCAAAACAGTAGAGTTGTATTCCACATTTAAATCAGGCTACATATAATGCTCCTTGGCAACTGTAAAATGCTGATTTTGAAGGAAAAGCACCCTTCCTTACATTTAAGCAGTAATCAGGCAAAAGAATGAATAATATGGGTCATTATTAATAGAAAATACTGGCTTGCATCATCCTTCCCTTCTTACTGGCTGCCCCTCCCCGTAACCTCTCAATACATGAGCAAACCTTACTTTGAAGCACCCTTGATAACATCACTCAGCATGTCTCTGACCCTGCAATACAAACGAGAGTTAGCACAATATATATATATAGCATGGCAGCCGGGACTTTCTGCCTGTAGTCCTTCCCTCCAAATGTCCTTCCATTCTCAGTCAGACTATCACAACCCAATAGCCATTCCATAGGACTTAAGAGCAAATACATCACAGATATAAAATGGTAAATAAATATTTACCAAATATGTACATATCCTCTGTCATTTTACGTTTTCATATCCTTGGACCAACTGAAATAATTTTCTAAAAGGGCTTTTTTATCATATTTTATTCTTTTCTTGTAAAAATTCAAGTTCATGCAGCAGCCATAATTCTGTTCATCTAGCTGTTACAGACAGCTTTCCAAATCAATGTGTTATGTCTTAGCCTAATAAAATGAAAATGTTCTACAATGGATAACTATAACAATTTATCCAACGTTTACTATATTTCAGAACATAACTATGCATGGTTAAGCTATTAGGTGGCACTATGGCCTGAATTTATTGAAATGAAAGCTATAGGGGCACTTAGAATTCCTTTTATGTTACTGTAATCAATTTACAATACATGACTTGCCTGTATTTGTTTAGTTTTGTATTCATTTCCAGACAGAGCCAGGGCTGCAGCAAATCTTTTATACTGCCAAGCTTATTTTTTTTTAAATAAACATATAAACCTTGCACTCCAGAATTTACAATATGAAATAGTAAATCTTAACTATGACTGTCATCCCATGCAGAAAGATATCTACCTTTCAGTCACATAATAATACTTCAAAAAAATTTAATTGATTCTTCATTCTTAAGCACAATATTTATTTCTGAGTACTGTCATTAGAAAACTCACTTAAGTTGAAATCTTTTACGTGAACATTAAATAGAAATGATGCAAACCTCCCTCCCCCCAACAAACAGTAAAAATCTTCTATTATCTTGTTCATGTCAGAACAAAGTCAGGGCCAGACTGAGAAGTAGGAAACGCTGGTAAAGGCCTAGTAGGTCCCTCTTTGTGAAGCCATCCTCTGGCCTTGTTCTAAAGTCAAAAGAGGTTATTCAGCACCTTGCTTGGACTGGGCTCAAGGAGCAGCCTGAGGAGACACTTAATATGCTTCCATTGAGCCATTGAGTTCATCTATCAACCTGCCTTTTAAATACGCACATGTACAAAATTAATTTTCAATTGTTCATGTTAGTGCAGTTTAGGATAACATGAGCGAGGAATTATGCTAGAAATAAGGGGCTAAGGCAGATTCTGTACCTCTGTGAAAGCTAAAGCTTTTCTTTTCATACCATAAGTTATAAAATATGTGGCCCGCAGGCTGGATCTGGCCCATGGAGCTGAGTCATTTGGCCCACAGCATTCCTGAAGGTGCCTGGATTTCTGTAGTGGTGTGGGTAGTGGTGGCATTAATCCCCATGGTTGTCTAACCCACTTTGCTGACTCAGGGAGCTGCACGGATTGATGCCATTATCATTAACTTTGCCACCAAAATCCAAGATATGGATCCCCACTGGGGACTTATTTTTTTTGGCAGTAGCTGGATGAGCAATGGTGGCATTAACCTATGTGGCCCCTATTAATGCCACTGCTGCTTGTCCCGGTGCTTTAGGTGGGTCCAGATCTGGCCCATGACAAGCCCTGATCTGGCCCACAAAGCTAAAGATAGAAGCAGATTGGAGATGGATGTGGTTCTCCAGTCTGTTCTATTGTATCTAGTTACTTTACATCTTGTTAAATAACCCCTGGCTCAGCCTTAATTAAAAAAGACAGAGATACAAATTACATGTTCCCTACTGACCATAACTATACCTTCTCATTGCAAGAACTATTTTTACTTTGGATATTGTTGGTGTGCATAGAGAGAGACCTTTGTATTGTAATAGATGTGTAAGCCCTGATATGGTACCAAGTCATTCATTAAAGTTGGCATCATTTCCATCCAAAGGTTGGACAAACTAGATGCAAACCTCCAGCTATTGTCATAAGTTTTCAGGCATTGCAAAGGGATAGCTACTGTGTATTCCAGCAACCTTTTACCCGAAACTCTCTTTTTTCTTTTTCCCCCCTGAAAGCTAGAGATCATATCTGTTTTTCTTCCATTAGTGCTCATACAGACAGCTAAACTTGTAACATTAAATTCTTTGAAGTATTCCCCTCCTCCTTTGCCAGGCACACTCTTCATTACAAGTGAAGAGGAGCAGTCATTCCCTTACCAGAGCCAGGCTGTAAATTGTTTGTACTGCACCTCTTCAAGATCCTCTTTTCCATGTTTTAACTGCATCTCCAGCTCTGCCTGTCTCCCCTGCCAAAGCACAGCATAAATCAGAAGATCTTAAAAGGGTAATAATCATGAGATTTCTGTGGGGAACCCTTGCGTAACAGATGTAACCCTTCCCTTGTGGGCCACTTCATGATTGGACCCAATTGTTCTTGATATAATACCCCACTGTAATATATAATATATTAAGCAAAACCATTGTAATTTTTTTATTCTGAGCAATGGGGGTGGCAGCTGCAGATGCAGCTAATGGTTAAAGCTACTTAGGGTATGGACAAATGTAATATTTGAAGTTCACCAAGTGCCTGTAAAGTGCTTCAAAAAGTGAGGATACAGAAGCATGCAGCCAATGAAGCACTTCAAATAGAGCTGTTCTGCCTCAGAAACGACCCCAGGAAAAATAAAGGGAACAACTTCCAAACTCTTCATGCTTCATTTGCACCCTTAGAAAGTCCTTCTTAATCATGGACCAAAAAGAACAGCATATGAAAGCAGCTTTGAAATCCAACTACCTCCAAGGTTACATGACAGCAACAACCATCATTTAGTAAATATATCATTTTAACCAGAATTTCACATTCTTTTTACTTGAAATGACTCCATTCTCCTTGCAATCCTTGATGACAGCTGTAGCTGTACTTTAAAGGATGTACTCCAAGATTTACTACAATGGTTTATAGCAGCGTTCCCCAACTGGTTGGGGAACGCTGCTATAAACCATTGTGCTGCAGCACTTTGGGCTGGACCCATGCCCCCCCTCCCCCCCTGCTGCTGCTGTGGACAGCCAGACAGGCGGGGGTTGTGGCTTCATCCAGTGATTCAAATTGTGCCACCTGCTTCCCACCACACGTTACAACCTCCTCCCAGTCTGTGGCATTCAGCCGCTTGCCACCCAATCCCTCCCCTCTCTCCCCAACCCTGCCCTGCCTCTCCACCCCCACTCTGGTCTGCAGTGTTTGGCCGCTCACCACGCCCATCTTCCCTGCTCAGCCAGTGTGCCGTGGGGTGGGGGCGGCCATGCAAGTGTGCCACAGGGTGAATAAGGTGGGAAAATGCTGGTTTATAGGGTGGTTCTGGCATCTGATGAGGACTGATCTGAAGGTGTTAGGCAAATCTCCAGAGTAGGAGACTGGGTAAGGGTGGGCAGGTTTAGTTTTAACCCCTAAAGCAACTATTGGTCATCATAACTGGGTTGAGACATGTATTTTTCCAGCAAGGCTCTTAAAAACAGCAGATCATAAGCATCTTTTTTCAAACATTCAGCACTGTTAGGAATTAGTTTTTGTGAAAATTTGAGAGTAAATCCTGATGTCATTCACAAAATCTGAATCTCTCATCTACTATTAAGCAAAGAGGAAGTTTGTTCCCCTGAGGACTGGGAGTCAGCACTCCTCTTTTCTCAACTTGACTACTCTCACGAAGGTCTGGATTCAGCAACGTGTTAAACACATGCTTAAAGTTAAGGATGTGTTTGGAGTCCATTCCAATTCCCCAAGGCACATTAAATCTAGATCTCTGATTTTAGTCAGGTAGGTTTGATCCTGAAAGCTGAGCATGCTGCCCCCAACTCTGCAAACTGCTTTAGCATGTCAGAGGTTCACTGAAAGCAACAAGGGATTTTTTTTGTTTGCATAAAGTCAGGGGTGTAAAACTCATCTGGCCCGACAAGGTAGATGAGTCTTGTCCCTGGGCTGGACCAGGCCCATGGACCCCTTTCCCTTTCCCCTCCCACTTCCGCAGCACAGGTCCCAAACCACGTGCAGCAGCTGTCAGATCAGGTATGCTAGGGAAGAGAGAGCAGAAGGGAAGGAAATCCATGAGCTGGATCTGGCCTCTGCACCAGCCCTGTGCTACAGGTGTACACCATGCCCCATGAGGTTCTGATCTGGATTTGGCCATATTTTTGACACCCCTGCTGTTAGCACATAAGTGTTTTGGCAAATTGGAATGGGGAAAACAAAGTGGTCATCAGGGGGTAGCAGGATTAAGTCTTTAGGATCTTTTAGCCTCTGTGCCCAGTTAGTAAACTGGGATATTACTACTTACGTACTCCCCAGTGATACATTAGCAATGTGAACTAATTAATTTATACTTGTAAAGCTTTTTGACAGTTGCAGATGAACAGGGCTATAGAAGCCTGAAATGTAATCATAATAATAATAGATCTTTTAAACAAAGTATGCATACACAGAAGCAAACTTCAAAGTCACAATGGTAAACTCCAACAATCCAGTCAATCCTAGAGAGGATTTCAGAAGCCAGATGAGTAAAAGCTGTGCTTATGAAATAGAGTCAGAAGTGGAAGCATGAAACAAGAGAGTAACAAAGCACCAACTGACACTCTCTGAAGTTCAGACCTTAAATAGTTATTTTAAAAGTAGGTTGTTTTTTAACAAGCATTTAAATCTGACATTCTGCTACTAACTAAAATAAATTATTTTGAAAATGGCCTCTTGCCTAGCCAACTCTCATAAGGTAAAATTCTGTTACATTATCCCACCGTGAAAAGTTAAAATTTGAGGAATTTGCTCAGCAGTCTGAGTTGCTCACACTGTGGAAGTGGCCAGTATCACTTGACACATGTGGGGAGACAAACATGAATCATCCAAGATAGCAAGACAAAGCAAGCTATTCACTGCTTTCAAAGGAAAACTATTGCTCTAAATATTATAGATGATTTGGTGTGCAAAGTATATCAGAATCTTTTTGGTCAAGAAATTAGACCAGATAATCTCATCAGAAGAGACTTTCTGGTGAAATTTTCAGATCGCCCTGGCTTGGAATGGCTCAGAAACAACAGTAGTCTGGTCTCTCACTCAGAGTATGACAGCAGCTCTCTTGTTAATTCCGACTAAAACTCAAATAAAACAAACAGAAAAGCGGAGAAAAAAAATAAAAATTTCAGCAATACATTTTTGAAGGAGTTCAGGGTTCTCACATCCTCATCATCTAGTTTGTCATACTCTCCAGCATCTTCAGATAATTTCTTTCCACAAAGAATAACTGATTAAAATTCAGCTCAAGGGATTATTCACAGTTGGGACAAGCATCTCAGCAGAGAAGTACAGTTCCGAAAGTCCCAGTATTTCAGCCAAATCAGCACCTATGTCAAAACGTACCTCCAACACTGGCTGAACTCTAACCAAACCTTTAATATGGAGACTTGTCTATATTTTGTTATTTTAAATTTTACAGTTAAAACGCAGGTTTCATTTTACTGAATTGTGGCTGATATTTACAGTTCAATTGCTTGATGGGAAAACTGAAAATACAGAAAAGGGCACATCACTCCAACTACCTGTAAAACTGCATGGTATGTTCTGCTCATAAATCCAAGCCAGGACGGAGGGAGCAGGAGAGAGCGATACCATTCAGAAGGCTGTATGTTAACCTGTATGACATAAACAGAAAGGACAACTCTCTTAGAATTAATTTGCCAAAAGTGTAATTCACAGCCAGCTCTCTAGCATTATAATTCAATGATTGTATTTTCTTTGTACTATTCTTATCTCCCTCCCTACCCTCCCTCTCCCCAGCAAAACAAAAAATTCCAATAGTAAAGCCAAGGATAATCAGTCTAGACATCTGAATATTGCCAACTAGAATTGTTTTTCAAGTTAAACTGCTTTTGGTCACACAAGGGAAAGGTCAGAGGAAACAATGATAATTTGTGCTGTGCCCTAAATACGATAGTTCTTTGACAAACAGGAGAGAATGTCTGAATTCAAGGCAGTTCACAATTTAATGGTCTGACACTGGAAACATCCAAGTACCATAATTACTACTGTGTTTAGTAAGCAACAGCACTCAAATATTATAGCGAAGCATATCATAGAAAACCCCAAGATGGATCAATAGAGTCAATCAATTAAATGATCTCACAGAGATCAGTGGAATCACTACTGACAGGGTGTGTAGGATTGATACCTAAACTAAGCAAGTGTTTGTGGTGGGGGGGTTTAAGGACGCAACAGAACAAAGAAAAAGCATCACTAATTTGGTGTTTACCATACCTCTTGAGTACTTTTGTCTGCCTTAAAAACACAAATACTACTTTAGGAGTGCTGTTACACACAAAAATGAAGTAAGTGGCACAAGGAAGTCATCTGTGGAAGATTAACCCGAAGTAGTGAGTTTTAAGCTGGAAACAAAGGTTGAGGCATGTAAGTCAGGATAGTTGCAGTCGTGCAACATAGCCTGACACAAACATATTGAGCTCTTTTTAAATAAACAAAAAAAAATTCTGGCTTCATGTTAGATACCACCAGCTCCAGCATAAAAGGAGGGAAGGAGGGAGTTTTCAACGCAACCATGTTCTTCAAACATGAGTAGCAGTCAGGAAATAATTTGTTCTGGAAAAACCTCTTCCAAATTACAAAAATCTGGACAATTTTCTAGGGAAGTCTATAGCCAGTTACAACTGCACAATGAACTTACAAAAAGGTCAGCGTTAAAGGACGAACTCAGTCTGCAGCCTGATGCACATGCATACTCTCAAACTGAAGCATAAAACCTTTTCCTGCATTAACTCTCACAACAAATATTAATTTACAAAGGCATATTTGCTTTTTCAGCATGCTCTGAAAATTGTAGTATTTAAAATGGGAAATTTCACAACAGAAAACAATACAAGATGCACTGACTTAGTAATTATTTAATTTTCTACTGGCCAGTAAATTATTTGGCTCTCCATATCTATTGGTCGTGTCTCCCTTTCCTGACCATAAAGCTTAAATGAAGGTCATTTATTATAGCTGTATGTAATACTGTACAGTAATATATGTAATACTGTAGTATGGTTACTACTCCTAGAGTAACCAAGTATGTAGCGATAGGACTACTGAATCGTTCAGGATCAAGAAGGTGCTTAAGAGCTTTGATGGACTTGGGCCTAAATACCCATAATTGTGTATACCTACAACAGGTAAACCCTAGGAGAAGTGGGATATTGATACTAAAGAATGTGAAACTCCATCATAAAAAACCATGGTCTCTCTTGAACAGCAATTTTATTGTATGTATTACAGAAATGGCATATTATTATTTAGCGTATAGAAGTTTATTGTCTGATTACATCCCAAGCTAATCAAATATTAGAAACCAAAATAGTATACTCTCCCTCTGCCCCTACCTCCTCGCTTGGAAATTTAATTACAGCAACATTTTATTAAAAGAAAGTGTCTGAGGTGTGCCCCCCTCCCCCTCCTTAACATCTGTGTTTTCAGGGCCATACCAAAAATGAGTTCTGTAATTAAAATGACTGCTGTGAATTGATGTCTCAAAAAAATCCATAGCAGGCAGAAAGAATTCTTTTTTTTTTTTTTTTATTGCTAGTGTCAAATTATTTCTACTGTCCTTCCCCTAGAGATCTTCCCCCAGTAATCCCTCTGACAGCATCGAACGGGGATGCCTGACTTCGCTGGAATCACTTGGCGCGCACCTGGCATTGAGGGACTATCGATAAGTTGCCAACCCATGTCGGTCTATATGTTGCGTTGAACAACCCAGTGACTGACACCCTCACAGTGCCCAGTTGGCCTGTGACAGATTGATCTATCTATCTATCTGTTGTTATTATGTGTTATTATTTACTATTAGCTCTTTATACTGCATTATCTGCTTATCGCATTTATCTTTCTGTTAGCTGTTGTATGTGTGTAAGCTATAATAAATTTGTCTTTATTTCACTCCTGACTTTGCCTCCTTGATCCGAAACTGAATCAAACAGCCCAGTTGGCCTGTAATAAAATTGATACACTCACAGTGCCCAGCTGGCCTGTGACAGGCGAGACAGGATATGTCTCAGTATCCACTTTTTAAGGTATACACTTTTCATTTTTAAATTAAAAGAACATGCCAAATTCTCAAAGTTCTAGAACTCCCCCTCTTGCTGTCGTCATATCTGGTCTAAAGCTCACCTTCAGTAACAAATCTTGCTAAGCTTAACCCAGAAGGGTGTTGTTATCCTTTTTTATTACACTGAGACAACAGGCACAATTCAACATGGAAAGTACTCCAGTGCTGAATGAACCCAAGCTCCTACACTACTGACACCTCCAGTGGTTTCTTCTAGTTCCTAAACATAGAAAACATAACCAAGAAAATTGGCTGAATTCATTTACTTCATCAATTATCTTCCAATGTTTCTAACATTAAAAAATGAGTTCTGAATGTCAATAATTGGGCTTAAAGTAACCACTTCACAGCAATAGTACTGTTATACTAATATTAGTGGTATTTATAGATTCATAAATTGTTAGGGGCTGGAAGGGTCCTTGCAAATCATCGGGTCCAGCCCCCCAGCTCTTAGCATGGACCGGCTGAACATTCCATTTGTGGAGAACTTCCCAGGGAATGGGGCAACAGATCGATTGATCTGAGAGTTCAGCGGAGCTCATTACTCATAACGGGTGTTAATCACCGCCACAGTCTCTCAATTATCGCGGCAGCATTTCAGTTAATTGATTTGGCTATAAAGATTGTGTGGCAGGAGCTGCAAGAGCCGGTGGGCTGTAGGCAGGGTAGCAGCTAAGCCTGCTGGACAAGTTTTTGTTCTTTTTCTTCTTTTTATTGTTGTGTTTTTTTCTCCCAGAGCCGAACCCACTGGAGATGCCTACAGCTGGGTCAGTCTGGGTGAACACCATCCCTCCTGGTACTCAGTAAAACATCAAAGTCATGGCAGGTGAGAGCAAGGAAGAACCCCAGTCTGGCTAAGTTGCCAGGGTTTTCTTTTCAGTGAGGGCAGGCTCCTGGATGTCATCGGGTTGCAGCGGGCCACGTCCTTACGCGGCGAATCCCCGTCATCCACGAACTTGGCCGGTGAGCTTTTTACTCCCCCATCCAAATCATTGATAAAGATGTTGAAAAGGACTGGTCCAAGCACAAACCCTGAGTGACACCACTGGCCACTTAGTGCCAGGACGACAGATCCATTCATAAGAACTCTCTGGGTCCTACCCTGTAGCCAGTTTCCCTGTAGCCAGCCAGACATATTAATTAAGTACTAATTAAGTTGATCAGCCAACAGCCTTAAATAAGCAAATGGAGATAATTTACTTCAACCAGAAGACCATAAAGAGAAAAAAAAACCCAGAAAAGCTTTTAACTCTTAAATCAGATCCTCAGTCTTTGACAAAACCCATTAAACAGCACCTTTTCTCAGTATTTGTCAAGGTGCTATTGGCATTTCCCATCACAATCAGAATTGTTGCCTTTTTCTTCTCTTGTAACTCTCTTTCAATAATTACACATTACTTACAAAGGTTGTGTAACTCTTTATAAATAATTACATATTCTGACTTCTTGTTTGGCTGACATCCTTCTGTCCTCTACTCAATACAATCATCCTCAAACTGTTCACCTTACAAGTTAAGAGAGACTATCTACTCATTTTCAAGTCAATCGATTCTTCCATTCTTTCCCTCTGCTTTCATCTCAGACATGGTTTCACCTACTGCATCTTTGTGATTTATCTTGTTCAGCTCTTCTACTTTCCCTTACCTTCAACAGAAATTTCAATCCTTCTATCTTGAAACCAGTTTTAACATGAGTATGTGCAGTCACTCATACTGGCTGAAGCCAAAGCAAAATCCACATTGCTATTACTGGGAGCAAGGGCTGGTCATTATAGCCTACCAGGTCCTCCCATGACAGCAGG